ATACATCCCAATCTCTGATCTTGCAGTCACTGTGATCTTCTGTATAGAATTCAATGCAATATGGCAACCTGGAGGCGTTCCGAACAACATTGGTGTACGAAATGCCTCCAGAAATGTTATTTCCTGTTTCTGTGAATGGCTCACTGATTTTCCCAAAAAAGTAAAATTTTAGGCATCCTCTGTATTAAAAATGTTAATTTTGGTGGAACATTACCAAACAAATAAAAACTTCTAAAGAGATGCTGACAGTGCAGCTTTTCTTATCTGAATACTTAAAGTGCACCAGGTGATTATAATGAACCAGACCCTCCCATTCGGAATCGGTCTGCCAAGGACATGGTCAAACAAACAGCCATTTATTCCGAGCAAGCTAGGAATCTGCCACACAGTGTGGTGAAATCTTTGCAAGCAGCATATATCACCCATAGGGGATTGGTTTTTTTTAACAAAAGTGGAATTACACTTTAAAATGTTCCAATGAGAACTACATAGTTTAGCAAAGAGTAGCAGTAACAATAAGGGTCTGTGATGGGTTTCTGCAGGCAAATTCAGCATGCTTTTGGCAGTATGAGACGCTTCTGAGATCATTCAGAAGTAATTGACAGGTACATTTGAGGTGCAATTGACCTCCTTCTAACCTGTACTTGACCTACCTCAAGCTGCGTTTGCATTCATATAGCTAACAAACAATGTCGACACTGGCCCTTAGGCTACAGGGGCACACCTAGTGTATTTTTACAGCCCCCTTCCACCCTGCACTCTTCTTCCAGAAACCACTGGAATAGAAGGCTTCCTACAGCTTGAAGGTTACATGCAACTTTGCAAATAAAAATAGGTGGAAAGGTCTAAAAATGAGCAAACCTGTTGATTTAAACCCATCCCTTTAAATACTGCACTGTAGCAAACATTTGGGTCAATGCAACATTATGCCCAGCAAATTAAAAAACGTCCAATAAGCCTTTTGGCAAATATCATGCACTGCTTGTTCCAAACAAATGGGCATGTGAAGGAAAAAGAAGAGGTTCGGGAGCTCACAGAAGACATTACAAGGAGCCAGAAAAACACAGTAAGAAACACTTTCATGAAAAATAGATTACAGGGCCGTTAAGTAGTGGATGTGTATGGATTATTTCTGAAGAATAATGAAATCATTTTGTGTCATTTTAACTGGTAAAATGGTTTGCCGCTTCTGCTCAGGCCTAATACTTCTCTCAAAGGGTGCTTTAATCCTCACAACCTGCAGACAGTAAGAACTTCCTGTCTAAAACAAAGCATAATATATAACATAGTAAAATATTTAATATTAACTTGTCTTTAACAGGACCAGCCAGTTTGAAAAAGTAGAAGGGCCCCTCCATCTAGCTAAGAGCAGGGGGAAGGATCCTGGCTGAGAAAGGGGCAGCTGAAAACTGTAGACTCCTTGTTTAGAATCAGTGACAGTTGTCAGAAGCAGAGCTCTGCAGAATGCCTACCTCCCTAGAGAGAACTAACGGAGTCTCTAAAGGGGCAAACTTCCCTATATAGACTCCTCCCCCTGTAACAATGGTACAGTGCCACCTACAGGACAGAAGAGTAACTGCACAAGTCTATATACAGGTTTCCGTGTACATCTGGGCACAAGTGTGGTTTCATTACGCATGCAACAAGAAAGGTAGCATAGAAGTGTCAAAACCTCCCCATTTTTATGCAGGCGGGAAATGCTCTGTAGATGTGCCAAAATTTTCTGCTAGTACCCAACAGTCATAAAAAGCCCTTTGGCATTTCTACACGTGCCATAATGTTGGCACTGGGGAAGGGGTCACAAAGAACAAGGGCTGTAGTTCCACTTTAAATAACCATTGTAGTAGGAGCCTCTGCACTACGCATAGAGCACGCAGTATACATTCACGGCATCAATGATAAGCTGGCATAAAGAGCTGAAATGCCTGAGTTATGTAGACCTGCCAGCAGCAGGAACTCCTGGGAAATAAAAGAAATATCTTCAAGCAATATGTGTATCTGAGAGTTTTATTTATATCCACTCTGGAGACAGGTCCTAAAATCTATGTGTGTGTCCAACCACACTCAACCAATGTGTGGTCAGATATTAGATAAAGATGATCTTGGTGACGTTGTCCTTCAGGGGATCTCATAACCAATGGAGATGTCGTGTTGATGCAAGTTGTTGAGGTCATGGGCTTCTGCTTCTCTAAAAGCAACAGAATGGCTCTCTGCAGGATAAACAAGTAGCCAGCAAACACAAATGCTCCTGCGCTTGGGGATGGACTCGATGCAGGCTACAACCACATTAAGAATGTCCTGGAACATGCACACCTTGCTGCCCTCAATAGACCAGGGAAATCCAAATATACTGAATGAGGAAAGAACAAAGAGGGCGCACAGGCCTAGTGCATTACCATAAAAAATGTTTAATGAGGAAGAGGCAAGTCCTCGAAACGCGTCAGCCTATTGGATGTCTACACTTCCTATATTGCGGACTGTTATTCAGTGCGGTGTTGACCCAGCTGTTCTTTTATGACGTGCCTTGACTTTAATGTCGTTTGTGAGTACAACGCCTACTTTATTTTTTATTAAACATTTTTTATGGTAATGCACTAGGCTTGTGTGCCCTCTCTTTGTTCTTTCCTCATTCAGGATAAACAAGTGTAGAGGTGCAGCAAGAAGAGTAATGCAACGCTGAATCATAAAATACCTTATACATACAAAATCATCAATACATGATATATGTGCAAAATAAATCACCCCCAGTGTCGATCCATACGGCACATATGGACCAATACTCAAAAAATAAAAAGTGATAACACAATGTAATGAAATGAAATACAATGAACTAGTGATAACACAATATAATGAAAAAGTCCAATCAAAAAAGTGTGTATCCAACTATGTAGAGTCCAAAACAGTGTAAAGAGATGACCAAAATCTTCTTCCAGTACCACCAACAATGTGCACTCCTCCACCTACTGTATATGCACTCACCAGAGGGCTGAAAAGCAAATGCATGCATCATAGCCAATGTAGTCATTCTGGCGTCCCAATCCCTGGATGGAAAGGAGCTCACACCACAGAGCCAAGACAAAAGTATATAGTGTAGTATATTTTATTAAAAGCATTGTTAAATGAAGCTAAAAACAGCCACATGGATGCATCTAACAAACAATCTGTCCGGACTTTCAGATATGGCCGCCGTTCTGAGTACTGGAACCGGCGGCATGACGTCAGCATGTAAGGCTCCGTCTAACGCATTTCATGTGCATGAACGTCCTCAGGGGACACACCTGGTAGCACACTAGCTCTGATGAAGGGGGAAGACAATTCCCCTGAAATGCGTTGGCTATACTCATTACTAGAGATGAGCGAATTATTCAAAAATTCGATTCGGCTGATTCGCCGAATTTGCGGGAGAAATTCGATTCGATGCAAATTTATTCGCTGCGAATTTAACTTATTAAAAGGGTTTCTAGGCTTCAGAGAGCCTTTATATTAGTGCAGAACACTGTACCTTTAATTTAAATGCCCTTGGAGTCTGCTGGGGAAGAGAAATAATACTGTCAGTCAGTATGACATGCAGATGAGTGCCGTCGATCTTAGAATCACCGCACACTTCACTCATTTGGGCAGTCACGGGGCACGACGAAGAAGAAGAAGAAGAATGAAAAGAAGAATGAAAAGAAGAATGAGAAGAAGAATGAAAAGAAGAATGAGAAGAATGAAAAGAAGAATGAGAAGAAGAATGAAAAGAAGAATGAGAAGAATGAAAAGAAGAATGAAAAGAAGAAGAAGAATGAAAAGAAGAATGAAAAGAAGAAGAAGAAGAATGAAAAGAAGAATGAAAAGAAGAAGAAGAATAGAAAAGGAGAATGAAAAGAATGAAAAGAAGAATAAGAAGAATAAGAAGAAGAATGAAAAGAAGAATGAAAAGAAGAAGAAGAAGAATGAAAAGAAGAAGAATGAAAAGAAGAATGAAAAGAAGAAGAAGAAGAATGAAAAGAAGAATGAGAAGAAGAATGAAAAGAAGAAGAAGAAGAATGAAAAGAAGAATGAAAAGAAGAAGAAGAAGAATGAAAAAAAGAACAAGAATGAAAAGAAGAACAAGAATGAAAAGAAGAACAAGAATGAGAAGAAGAATGAGAAGAAGAATGAGAAGAAGAATGAAAAGAAGAATGAAAAGAAGAAGAAGAATGAAAAGAAGAAGAAGAATGAAAAGAAGAATGAGAAGAAGAATGAAAAGAAGAATGAGAAGAATGAAAAGAAGAATAAGAAGAATGAGAAGAATGAAAAGAAGAATGAGAAGAATGAAAAGAAGAATGAGAAGAAGAATGAGAAGAATGAGAAGAAGAATGAGAAGAATGAAAAGAAGAATGAGAAGAAGAATGAAAAGAAGAATGAGAAGAAGAATGAAAAGAAGAATGAGAAGAAGAATGAAAAGAAGAATGAGAAGAAGAATGAAAAGAAGAATGAAAAGAAGGAAAAGAAGAATGAAAAGAAGGAAAAGAAGAATGAAAAGAAGAAGAAGAATGAAAAGAAGAATGAAAAGAAGAAGAAGAAGAATGAAAAGAAGAAGAAGAAGAAGAAGAATGAAAAGAAGAAGAAGAAGAAGAATGAAAAGAAGAAGAAGAATGAAAAGAAGAAGAATTCCAGTACAGCAAAAAGTGTATCTGCAGAGAGCTCCGCTATTTCTGACAGTTCTCTGACAGTTCCTTCACATTTACAGCGGTTGAAACATTGTATCTATTTGTTTCCGAATAAAAACATCTGTATCCTAAATGGAAACAAATAGATACAATGTTTCAACCACTGTAAATGTGAAGGAACTGTCAGAGAACTGTCAGAAATAGCGGAGCTCTCTGCAGTGACACTTTTTGCCGGCTGATCGGGGAAAATTCGATTCGTGCATCCGAAGTTTGCTAAAATTCGGATTCGGTGCGAATCGAATTTTTCCTAATATTCGAAACAAATTCCACTTCGCCAAGTTCGATTCGCTCATCTCTACTCATTACCTGTAAACCAGCAACTTCAATAAACTTCATATATTTAACTGCAAGTGCGGCAAACTCTTTAATGGGTGCACCTCTACCAGGGGCGGACTGACAACTCATGGGGCCCCCGGGCAATAGGAGATCATAGGGCCCCTTTGTCCTTGCCCAAACTAAAAAAAGCCTATGAAAAAGGTACCAGGGGCATCTCATGGGGCCCCCTACTGACCCTGCGCCCTCGGGCAGTGCCCGAGTTTCCAAATGGTCAGTCCGCCCCTGACCTCTACACTCATCTTAGGTCCACAAACCAGGAAGAGAGACAGAGCTTGCATCTTATAGGATGATGGGGTTTGAAAAGTGTGGGTTAATATGTATCTAAAGTCAAAACTTTATTTTTGTTTTGGATATGGTAGGGAATAGATAAAACTCTGTCCCTTTTTTCTTATTTGAATCCCTTCACATCCATTCCTGTACAACAAGGGACAAGTACAACAGGGAGTGAGAAAATGTTTTTATATGTGTTGAAAATCCCCTCTTGGATACTGTAGTTCTCTGTGGAACATGTGTACCTTCTGGAAGAATTTCCTTCTATTCCCGCTACAGTGATTGGGTATTCTTTTACTTCCAGTGACATAGTCTGGCTGAAAAAAGACAAAAGTTCATCCAGTTCAACCATTAACCACTAGCCTACACGGCACTTATACCCCCTTCCTGCCCAGGCCAAGTTCCAGCTTTTAGCGCTGCTGCACTTTTAATGATAATTGCGCGGTCATGCAACACTGTACCCATATGACATTTTGATAATTTTTTTGTGACACATAGAGCTTTAGTTTGGTGGTATTTAATCACCTCTGGGTTTTTTATTTTTTCTTAAACAAACCAAAAACTACTGAAAATTTTGAAAAAAAAAGTTTTTTTCTTAGTTTTTGTTATAAAATTTTGTAAATAAGTGATTTTTCTCCTTCACTGATGTGCTCTAATGAGGCTGCAGTGATGGGCACTGATAGGCTGCACTGATGGACACTGATAGGTGGCACTGATGAGGAGGAACTGGTAGGTGGCACTGATGGGCATTGACAGGCATCACTGATGGGCACTGAAAGGCAGCACTCATATATGGCACTGATAGGGGGCACTGATAGGCGGCACTGACTGGCACTGATAGGTGGCACTGGCTGGCATTGATAGGTGGCACTGCTGGGTGACACTGAAAGGCAGCTCAGATTGGCACTGATGGGCACTGGCAGGTGGCATGGATGAGCACTGAGAGCTGGCACTGATGGGCACTGACAGGTGGTGCTGCTGGGGCTACACAGATCATTAGGGCACACTGATCATTAGCTGCTCTGATGATCTGTGTACATGTCCCGTCCGAGGAATGCCGATTACCGGCTCTCCTCTCCTTACGAGCTGTCAGCGTGGCAGCTTGTGGGGAGAGAAATGCTGATAACCGGTATTTCCCTGTTTACATGTGATCAGCTGTGATAGGACACAGCTGATCGCATGACCGTGCCGACATCTTCGGCTCTTTCCATGGATCGGTGATCCGCTGTGTCCAAGGGACACAGCGCACCACCGATCGCCGCGCTCCGGGAGCTGCGCATGCATGGTTAGAATGGGAGGACGTCATATGACGTCCTCCCAGAACGAGAGAACCACCTTGCGTCCATCATATTACTATATGGCGGGCGGGAGGTGGTTAAAAAAAAAGTTATAATCCTATACCCACAGTTGATCCAGAGGAAGGCAAAAAAACCCAGCAAAGCATGATCCAATTTCTAGTGATGGTCACTAGAACAAATAGAGTGGTTGAATCTCCTCATTGAAGGCACAGGCAGCAATAAAAATCTCTGACAGAGGTTCTAACTCAACCTTACTCTGTCCAAAACTACAACAAAGTTTGGTGTCAAGGTCCAACCTGAGGCAAAAACCTTAATATGCGCCATCTTGTGGGGAGCTCATCTTAGTGCAGTCTGTTTGCCTTTCAGCTATGCTTCTGCCATCTGCTGGAGATTCTGAACATTGTATCTAGTAGACTGCAGGAAGTGGGTGTGTACAATACACCTGTCTCCAATCTTCATTACCTGATTATGGGAGTTCTGTGATCAGTGTTTGTATTCTGAATGTTGTCTGGCTCTCTGACCTGGCTTGTCTTTGGATTTGTTCTGTCTATTTGCCTTTCCCAGTTATGTGACCACACATGCCACCTTCTAAATCTGTTGCCACCATCCTATATTGTCTATAGTTGGCTTTGGAGATGACCAAGTGTCCTGCTTCCATGCATCTTTGTGCTGCTGCCTCTCTGGGTTTTAGCAAGCTTCTACCAGCCCTGTACATACATCAGTCCAGTCTGTATCAGAAATCACCAGAAGAGCCTCTGCTTTGGAATTGTTTCAATGTCATCTACAAACACTGGGTCGTTGCATGTTCAGGTTTGCCAAACATCTCTTCCTTCTGGCATGGAAAATCCACTCACTTCGTGGCATTTGACTTTAACACACCCTGAAATACCACTGGAGAGTTTATTGTACATGGGACCCACCGCTGGAGACTTTAAGGTACTTGGGACTATTGCTGGAGAGTTTATGGTACGTGGGATGTATGGCTGGAGAGTTTATGCTACATGGGACCCACTGCTGGAGAGTTTATGCTACAAGGTACCCACCGCTGGAGAGTTTATGCTACATGGGACCCACCGCTGGCAAGTTTATGGTACATGGGACCCACCGCTGGCAAGTTTATGGTACATGGGATGTACGGCTGGAGAGTTTATGCTACATGGGATGTACGGCTGGAGAGTTTATGCTACATGGGATGTACGGCTGGAGAGTTTATGCTACATGGGATATACGGCTGGAGAGTTTGATACATGGGACCCATTGCTGGCAAGTTTATGGTACATGGGACCCACCACTGGCGCATTTATGGTACATGGGACCCACCACTGGCGCATTTATGGTACATGGGACCCACCACTGGCGCGTTTATGGTACATGGGACCCACCACTGGTGCGTTTATGGTACATGGGACCCACCACTGGCGAGTTTATGGTACATGGGACCCACCACTGGAGAGTTTATGGCACATGGGATCCAAAGAAGATTCAAATAAGAAGACTGTATTAGAAAGTGTATCATCAGATTCTAATCTAATCTTTGTATAACTAACTTTTACGAATGTCACAGTTCTACTTCAACAACTGTCTGAAGCGAGTGACACCCTGCACTTAGGTGCATACAGTATGGAGGCATACAGCCTAGAAATAAGGTAAGTGTATGAGTGTGACTTGCCTCCTACAGAATACAAATGAATCAGTGACTGAATAGAATTGTTTATTTTATGTCCATGTCTGAAGAAGTATTTTGTTTCTGCTTTGCTGTTTGGTAGCACACTGTCAGGCTAACTTCATTTTCAGCTGATTCGCAGGGGGGAAGGGCTTGGTAATCAAGTGGGGTAAGCCATGTTAAAAAGAAAACGTGCAAGGATGATCTGTGGCTTCATTATTGTATGGCACAAAGTACTTGATATTTGTACCTAGGAACGTTTGAAAATGTAGTGGTCCTGAGAATGGAGGTGGGACACAGGATGCGGTAGGGGCAGGGTTTTTGTTGCACTGAATGATGGATGTGACCAATGTGTGCTAACAGTGGGAAGGGATCATTAAAATGTAAAAACACAATACTAAGTAGGACTTTTTAGGTAGCACTGAATTATTAATATAGTAGAATTAAACAATCTAAAATTCATCACTTCTAATTGGATATTATAGAAATACAATTACATCGCATAGAACAGCTGATAATTCAATTTACCAATGATTGAATGTGTGGTGCCATTTATTGTGTTTTTCAAATAGTGCCATTTATTGTGTTTTTTTTTTTTTTTTTTTTAATTTCCATATTGGGGATGTTGGTACCTACGTTGTTGCTAACTTAAGAGTGTCAAAAATCCTTTGTTATGGCTAAATAATTCTAAGACTGCTCTGCCTTAGGTCAAGAGTACATAATGCATAGGGTGCAGGGGTCAGGAATAAGTAATCTGCAGAGGTCAGATGCACTTGTTGCACAGGGGTCAGAAGCATGAAATACACAGGGTGCAGGGATCAGGAGCGCATAATGTTCATGGAGTGCTTTGAAAAGTATTGAAGTTACTTGTAGAAAGACATTCTAGGTGTCACCAGGGCAAGTGTCTTCCCTCAGTCCTTAGCCTTGATGCAAGCCTCTTGGAAGGAGTTATGCCAATGAAAATGATTGGCTGGGTGGATGTCAGTTTGGATGAGTGGGCATTCCTAAGCAGGCTGCATTTGTATAGACTGCCCTAGGTTAAGCCCGCACACGATGGTGAGGAACTGAAATCCAATTCATGAAATGAATGGGCCAGGGACAGCCAGGCTGGGAAGGAAAGACCTAGACTATTCTGAACATTCTCCAGCCAGTAAATGAGGTGGGCTCTATCTGACTTACTGAAGCTTCTAATGATGAAGCTCATAGTGTTCAGTGAAATCAGAGTAATTTCAGTACAGGAAAGGAGCCCTTGCAACTGTGCAAGCCTGAAGGTTGGGTTGGAGTTCAGCTGTAATAATTTCTGGGTAGCATTTCTTTTTAAATGTATACAGCAGAGAAGAAAAAGAAAAGAGAACTTCTATTCAACTAATTTCCGGATGTTCTTTTGTATTTACCTGTATACATCCAATTGTTTGGTATACTCCCTCTGAAACATGTTGAGTTAAATAGAAATAATTTTTCTTGCTTTTATTACCATTGATATCTTGGCTGTGTTCTTCCAATTCAATTCTTCCCCAGCACTTCCAGCATTCTCCTGGCTCTGTAGGCGTTAAACACACAAGCGCTACTGCTGTGAAATGTTTGACCAGCCAATAACTCCAGTTGAGCCCCTCCATGTTGGCGTGCTGTGTGGAATTACAGTAGAGGATACACTTTAACAGAAATTTCATATTTTTAGAAGGATAGCTGTTGTTTGCATCTTTTTATTGTGGGATCAACCTAGTTGAATCGTTTGGGTTCCTTGCTGGACAATCCTTCTAATGAAGTCAATCTAGAGATCGAGGGTGATTGTCACAAGGCTTGATTGCCATGGTGTACTTGTTAGTGCTTTCCCAGTAACTAGCTCATATGAGCATTAAACCTCTGCATATTACATAACCTGTCAACCAATAACCTTAGTGGTGCCTGTGGTTTTTTTTTTTTTTCCCCCTTTTAAAATGAACAACTATCCTGGCCACCCTCTCCAGGCCACACTTCACATAGTGGCAGTGACGTCCCA